TATTTGGCTTCCCACACTGGGCCCTCCTAACAGGCCCAGAGACGTGCCCCAAGTTCTCACCATTCTTGCCTGTAAGGCTCCCCCCGCCCCTCCGCACTTCCTTCAGGATGTGTCGATGATCATGGTCGTCTGTGGGACAGTGACACACAGGCTCCTGTTGTGGGCTTGGGAGGGACACCTGTGTGATCAAACTCACACAGGGCTTGGTTCCTGGCCAGGGAACCCCTTGTGCAGGCATCACCCACCTGCCTGTCGATGGGAGCTGCTGTGTCGCTGGGACGCAGAACAGCTTCAACTGAGCTTCCAGACAGAGACGAGAAAGAAAGGCCTGCAGGGCCCATGTTAGCTCTGTCCTACATGGACAGGAGCTTGGCATGCATTGGGGGTCAATTCAGGGGCTCTGAACAACAGTAATGGTAACAGTAGCAGAAGGAGTTTCAATTAAACCAGGTTTCAAATGCTGAAGCAAAGCCCAGCTAAGAGAAAAGGATGTGGCAGTGGTCAGGATTGCTGTGGCCTGGGGGGGGTCCAGAAACTCCTTTCTGGATCTGAAGGCTGCACTTGGCATGAGGTGGGTTTTGTGGTCCAACTCCACTAGGAAAAGAAACCCAGACCACACGAAGACCTGTGTGTGTCGCAGTGGCCGAACCAGGCCCAAGAGGTAGTCACAGGTGTGATCATTGGGGCAGATGGTCAGACCTTTCTTGTGACATGCATCTAGGTAAACTAGACCCATCAGCTTTTTGGTTGTTAAAGGTCTGCGCTTTCTAGAACTCCCTCACTCACACACACACCCATATACCTCCCACCCTCCACAAGGGAGAAGTTCATTCATTCAAACTGCTAGCCTCCCACTGCAGGTCTGTGGGATCTAGTGAGGGAGCCTTTCAGGGAGTTTGAAACAATCCTCCCCAGAGGAGGTAGTTGTTTTGATACTTTGTAGCCATAAGAAGTCTGTGGGAAGGATACTGTATCCTGTGGACTGTGGAGCCCTCAGTTTCCATGGCTTACACCCCTTGCTTTCTCCTTCTAGTTTGATTGTTAATATTTTCTGTAGCTACCCCATGGGTGTTCTTTCTTCTTAGAAATGTATCCATGACTGTTGTTTTTGAGAATACACACAGCAGATCACTCACTGACAGCAGGTTCTGCTATAATTCAGTGACAGGTCTGACGCCTTCCTTTTGTGTGACCACCACTTCTCATTTTCCAAGTTGTTCCTCCTTGAGAACTTAAACCCATGGCCCCTAAATTTCCCATCTAATCCTTGGAAATGCTATTGTCAATCTGACCCCAGAGATAATTCTAACAAGAAGCACAATGTTACACATTTAAAGTTACATGCTTTATTAGTTAATCTAAATTGTTCAAGTAAGAAAAGACTTCAGGGGATATTTGTGATTTAAGATTTAAAGGGTAGCTCAAAGCAATAGTTTCAGGAGCTCAGTCCACCTCCATGACTCCTGAAAATCTGGACGCCAGGAAATATCTCAATTCTTTTCCTTATGTCACCCCCTTTTGATCAAGATTCAGCTGGGGAATTCTTAACCTGGGGTCCAAAACCCCTATGAAGAGAGGATGGGTTCTAGGTGGAGTAGAATATTCCAGGGAGACAGATTCTAGTTTCTATCAGATTCTCACCGGTTCTCTAGTCACTTGGTCTTCGGACGGGCAAGATGGCAGTCAGGAAGTTCATGTCTACTGCATCCTAGGAACATGAGGGCCAGGTAGGGTCCTGGGCTGGGGAAGACCTGGAGGTACCCCTTCCGTCTCTCCTGAGGCCAGGCCTCTGAGGCCCCTGAACCTCCTTGCTTAGTCCCCTAGAACTGTCATATCAGAAACACCACGAGAGGGCGGCCCTAACAAACATACATGCTCCCACAACCTGGCATCCAGATCGTGTGTGTGTGTGTGTGTGTGTGTGTGTGTGTGTGTGTGTGGCCCAAGGGAGGGCGCACTGTGGGGCCCCAGGGAAAGTCTGCATCCCCCCGTGTTCCCTGGAAGTCTCCACATGCCACCTGTGGTCCCTCACCCTGTTCCTGCTTCTCGATCTCCACATCCATGCTGCTCCTGACAGCTCAGAGGGATCAGAGAACGCCCCTCGGGCAGGAAGCTCTGGTGGCCTAGCGGTATGGAGCTGCACTGTCATCGCAGAGGCACACAGTTTGAATCCACCAGCTGCCCCATGGAGAAGGATAGGCAGTCTCCTTCTGCGTGATTTACTCCCTCTGCCAGAGGCCCAGCTATGGTCAGTTCCAGCTCCCAGCTGAACTGCAGCACCAAGCACACACATTAGCACAACAAAGGGAATCTGTGAAGACACTGTGTGTGGTTGCTGGGTGTCCTGGCGGTCATCTGCAGCTTACAGGACCTCAGGTGACAGAGGGGCTGGAAGGCCTCCTAAGTGGTTCACCAGGTCTTTTGTTCAGAGAGGTCCCAGGGTGGGTTCAAAGCACCAACCTGTCAGCAGTTGAGTACTACTCACCACAGCCTGGCCCAGTCAGAGGCATAGTGACCCTCCACTGGGTTTCTGACCAAGTAAATATCAATAGGAGGCTGCCTCATCCTTCTGCAGAGCTATTTGGTGGGGATTTACAACACAGGTTTGTCCTGGAGCAGGTTAAACCAGGCTGCTCCTTGGAGACAAGGATTCTGAGGCTTCATCTGAAATACTTTGGACATGTTGTAAGGAGGGACCAGTCCTTGGAGAGGGGTGTCATGCTTGGGAGGGTGGAGGAACAGCACAGGAGGGGAAGATTCTAGATGAGATGGAGTGATTCAGTGACTGGGGTAAGGGGGTAGGTGTGTCGGAGACAGTGTGATTGGCACAGGATGAAGCAGAGTTTAGGGCTGTGGTACACAGGGTCTCTGTGAGTCACAGGTGACTTGTCTGCACATAACATCATCATTGTGGGGGTACATGATTCATCTTTGTCGGGTGCCAGCCTCTGTCCTTGCTGACTGTACAGGAATAGCGAGGGGGGGGGTCATCAGATGGCTCTCTGGTCACCCCCTGAATTAACAGTGGTCCCTGCAGCCCTTTCTGAACTGCCTTCCGTTGTTGGGCTCTGAGGGCACCACATTTGGGGAGGGGTCACCGGAGGAATACCGCTTCCCCAAAGAGCTACCAGGACAGAAGGCAGCTACAGGGCAGGTCAGGAGGGCCCAGCGGGAAGGCAGGTACCTAGGAGGGGGGGGGGGGGGGGGGGGCAGGGGACAGCATCCCCGCTGCCTCCCAGAGTTCTGGGGACAAAGAGGCATTAAGGCAGCCAGACCTTGTTCCCAGACCCGATTCCATCTCCCGCCCACACCCCAACTGGGGTGGTGTGGGGCTACCTGTGGTGGAAGGCTGGGAGGAGTTACGCTGGGAGGGGGAGGGAGGGCACTGCACGAGAGGGTTGTGCAGGGTCCGGGTGGAGTTCGCAGAGGGAGATTGTGGGAGGGGGCTACATAGTGGGGGACTGCGCAGGGAAGAGCCTGAACCGATTAGGGGGCTGCGTGGAGGGAGGACGTACAAATTGGGGGCGGGGGACGGGGCTGCGTGGAGGAGGCAGCAAGGATAGAGAGGCAGCGCTCGGGACCCCACTCCCGCGCGGGGGGCGCAGTGCGTGGGAGGGGGTGGGTGCTGCCCAGAGGGGGCTGCGCCGGCCGACCAAGCGGCTCCCTGCAGACTGTGGCCTGGCGCCGGCGGCAGCGCTGACCAGGATCGTGGGCGGCAGCGCGGCGGGCCGCGGGGAGTGGCCGTGGCAGGTGAGCCTGTGGCTGCGGCGCCGGGAGCACCGCTGTGGCGCCGTCCTGGTGGCGGAGAGGTGGCTGCTGTCGGCGGCGCACTGCTTCGACGTGTGAGTGTCGCCCTCCGGTCACCAGCTCCCCCTCTCCAGACCGCTTCTTGCAGGCACCACGCTGGGCTGGGGGGGCGGAGTCCAGTTTCACAGCCCCCACGAAACACAGGGTCGCACCCCCTCCCAGCTCGGACCAGGCGCAGGGGTGACACCTGGGGCTGTAGGATGGCTCAGTATGTCCTCCAGCCCCCAGGGTCCCAAGTGGGGAGTCATGGCTCAGCCCCCACCCAGGGCCCCTTACTGGCTGGGCGCTCAGTGGGGGTGGGTCTGACCAGGGACCTGGGAGGAGGGAGGCCGGGCTCAGGGTGCCCACCCATGGAGATGCAGGCCACTCTCAGTCGCAGTTCCCAGTGTCTTAGGGTCCGAGGGAAGGGGGTTGGAAGCTGGGTCCAGCGCGCCCCCAGGGTGCAAAGCCTCCGCCCGCCCCCGCAGCTACGGGGACCCCAAGCAGTGGGCAGCCTTCCTGGGCACCCCGTTCCTGAGCGGCGCAGACGGGCAGCTGGAGCGCGTGGCGCGCATCTACAAACACCCCTTCTACAACCTCTACACGCTCGACTACGACGTGGCGCTGCTGGAGCTGGCGGTGCCCGTGCGCCGCAGCCGCCTGGTGCGGCCCATCTGCCTGCCCGATTCCGCGCCCCGGCCGCCCGCCAGCGCGCGCTGTGTCATCACAGGCTGGGGCTCCGTGCGCGAGGGAGGTAGGCGGGGCCGGGGCCGGCCAGGTGACCCTCACCCCGAGGGAGGGAGGGACGGGAGGGGGCGCAGGGTCCGCAGCCTAGACCTTCCTGCGGCCAGGTGCCCCCCACCCCCAGGGAGCCCCGCGGCCCACCCGGCTTGTCGCCCACCGGCAGGCGCGATGGCGCGGCAGCTGCAGAAGGCGGCCGTGCGGCTCCTGAGCGAGCAGACCTGCCGCCGCTTCTACCCGGTACAGATCAGCAGCCGCATGCTCTGCGCCGGCTTCCCGCAGGGAGGCGTGGACAGCTGCTCGGTACGTGCCGCTCCGCTCGGGACACGGGGCACGAGGGCCAGGTGCCCGCCGGGAAGAGCGCGCTAGGCGCCACTGCCCCCCGCCCCCAGCAGGCACGCAGGACACCTTTCCACCGCGCACAGCTTTGCGTGTCCACTGAAGGAACCATTTCCCAGATAGTAAGAGTGAGGCAGATTGGAGTAGGCATTCACCAGGGCCGATGAGGACTGGGGCGGTAGAGGCTGGGGGGGGGGGAGCTGGCCCTGAGCCCTCTTTCCTCTCTCCCTAGGGCGACGCTGGGGGTCCCCTGGCTTGCAGGGAGTCCTCGGGCCGGTGGGTGCTAACAGGGGTCACCAGCTGGGGCTATGGCTGTGGGCGACCACACTTCCCGGGTGTCTACACTCGGGTGTCGGCTGTGAGAGGCTGGATCACCCAGAACATTCAGGACTGACTGCACTCTTGGAGAAGAGACCTGAGGGGGACGCAGGGGATGTCACCTGGTCTGCTGGGGAGGGCGTGCTGGGCAGAGGGCATGGCTGTGTAAATTTTGTGGCAATAAACAGCCTGCTGACCCCAATTTGCTGGTTGGACACTTGCGTCAACTCCCATTTAGGACGGAGGTGGGAGGATGGTGAGGAGACAGGAAGGGCAAGGGAGCGTTCCAAAGTCAGGAGAGCAATGATGTCAGCTTAAAGAGTAAGGTGCACCTGGTTCAAGCTATGGTCTTCCCAGTCACTTGCTGTGCATGTGAGAGGTGGACAATGAATAAGGATGACAGAACTGTGATGTTGGAGAAGAGTACTGAATACCCCATGGACTGCCAAAAGAGCAGATATATCTTGGAAAAAAGTGCAAAGTGCTCCTTGGAGCAAAGATGGCAAAGGGGATAAATGGGGGATACATGACTTAACACTACATCCTCTAAGCTGGAATAAAATTAATTCACTCGTATTGAGAGGCGGCGCAGTGGCCCCAGCCTCCTGTTGACCAAGTCTTTAGGTCACCCCAGGGCCCAGGTAGACCAGCACAGTCCCCCAAGAGACCCAAGGAGAAAAAGAAGGAGTCCTCGCTCAGCAAATTTATTTCACAGCATCAAGAAGTCCTGACTCTGGTGGGCTTAGGTAAGACCTGTCTGGCCCCTGCCCCAAGGTCCAAACAAGGTCGAGGGGCCACACCCAGGAGAGGCCACAGACCTCCCCTGGGCTGCCAGCGATTGAGAAGACACAGGGGTCCCCAAAACAGCGGCTGCACTCGCGGCAGTGGCGCGGCGCCCCCGGCCTCCCTGCAAGTCACTGAACAGGACGCGGGGTTTGGAGCTGCTGCCGATCACATGTTGGCTCGCTCCCGCTGCAGCCGTGAGTTGTAGGCGCGGGACACGGTGTTCCAGGCGTCCATGTAGCGATCCATACACATGGCGATACATTTCTGGAAGGGGAAGGGGCCTGCGGTGGGACGCGCCTCCCGACCCCGGTGGCCACGGGGTGCCGAGAGCGCATGCCCACCGCCCTGCCCGTCCCCCGCGGCAGGCTCCCTCCCCTGGGTCCCAGGGCCCCTCGGTCCACCCCTCAACCCTCACCTGTTCTGAATTGTCCAGGGAGCCCCCGGGCTTCCCGATGCACTTCCGGAAGCATTTGTCCGTCATTCTCTGCGGAGACACTCTGCGCTCAGGCGCAACCCACCACTGGGGGACCCTCACCCCTCACCGGTCCCTTGGCCCTGTCACCTACCTGCAGCAGCTCCTGGGCGTTGGCCACGGCAATCTGCACCTTCACCTGCTCCATGATGAGCCCTGGGTCCAGCTTCCCGCCCCCCGAATTCCCAAAATCTGAGCCGAAGCTGCCGTCCATGGCTCCGCAAAGTCAACCGGACCGCGGCCGCGTGCGCCGACCCGTACTTGCCCCGGAAACCGGTCCCGCACGGCACCACGGGAAATGGAGTCACAAAGTACCGAGATCAGGCAGGACTACAACACCCACAGGGCCGTGCGCGTCCACCTCACCCCCGCCCAAGAACGTACCCCACACGACCTCTCCCCGTCCCTTCGCTGCGCCTGCGCAGTGTGGCTGTTACTAAGCCAATGTCGGGCTGCACGTGACACAAAGCAGGCAGCACAGCTCCGAGGCGCCTGTCAACAGGCAAAAGTTTTGTGCTCAGAAAGCGGGCGGTGGGAACAGCCAGGCAGCGCGGGATTAAGCCATCTGTCTGTCCTCCTCTGGGAGAAAATTGGGGGGCTGGTTCTTAGGTGCCACCTAGTCAGGGGGCTCCAACTCCAGCAGCCCTGCGCTCAAATACACTCTGAATCAGAACTTAAAATCAAAATGTTTATTGGAGTGTTGTACAAAAATTTCCAGTCATAAAATGTATAGTACAAATCGGTGGGAGGCGGTAAGAGCAGAACAAAGGACCACACATTTGGCATGCTTCACCTTCAAATCCGAGCCGGGGGCCCGGCTCCCCGCTCGGTTATGTAACAGACGCAAACAGCTGCCAGTGAGGAGTGGGGTAGCAAACGCGAGACAAGTCATCCTGAAGCCGATCAAGCCAGCCATCCTGCTCCTCCGAGGGGTCCCCCCAACTGCCTCTTGGTCTCAGCATTTCAGGGGGCCGCACTCACAGTCGTGAGGGGTTACAAGTGCCTTCAAGTGAAGTGAATTTGAGAACAAGACTGCTCCTCAAGCCACAGCCAACATGACAAGCCTGATTCAGCTGTGAGTTCACATACAGATGTCTTCCAATGACTGCTGGTCACCACTGGCTGGCCACCCTCAGCACCCGGACCACCTCAGCTTGTGAACATCAGAGCCAGCTTAAGGACAGTACAGCCTCAAGCCTGGGGGTGGGGACAGCACATGGCATCTGGACATGCTGGGAGCAAACCCCAGATCCCAGTTTTCAGCAACCAGCTGCATGCAGCCCAGGACACACACGTCGTTGAACCACCAGGAGCCCCCTGTCCAGAACCTCCACCAGGCCAGGGTGACAAGAAAATCAGGGCAGCTCCGGTCCCCTATGGCCTTTACCCAGAAGTGGAGGGAGACCCATACCTATTCTTCCAGGTCAAGGGCCTGATGACACCTTCCCCAATAGCCAGCCTGGGGTCCCTCCCTACCACCTGCAATCCTCAAGGCAGGCAGTGCTAGGGGGTGCACTGCAGAAGCAGGGGGAGAGGTGCACCTGGACACCAAGGGCAAGCAGTGGTTTGCAAGCACCCCCATCACCCCTGAGGGCGCATGCCTCCGACAGCATGGCTCAGTGTAGCATCTAAAATTAGCTGCACTTTCTAAAGGTTGTCCACTATTTGGGGCCCACAAGACAAGAGCCCCCATGACAATGCCCCATTGGAGGGCCATCAGCTTGTCCTTGATGTGGGATCCCAGGGATATGTGAACTGACCAATGTAAAAAAATAAATATCCATTAAAAAAATAACTTCTGTGTATCTGAGTGGGAGGGAAGACAATGAAAAGCGAAGGGGAGCCGGGCAGCTGGTGTGGAGTGTCTGCAGACCTCAAACTAGAGGCCATGATGCGAGCACATCTATCAGAATCATCTCACTATGTGGACAGTGGGCAGGAGAGGAACGTCTGGGTGTGCGCCAGCCCCACGTACGTTCTGCACATGTTATCAGAGCTGGCTGCATGCTTGTGGCCACTTGTTCTACACCTTGGGGTCATCAGGATGGCCTGTCCAGCCTGCACTCTCGGGTGACCCAAGACTTAGACGGTCTGACACCTACCACTTCTGTGACGCCTGTGGGTCACACGAGGGGCAGCCCTCTGCCCTGATGGCACCTTGATATGCCAGGGCCTCAACGTGCCAGGCACGGCCCTCTCCCCCAGCCCTGAAGGTCCGGCTAGGTGGGAAGCACCCATCCGGTGAACCTCGCCAATCTAGGCTGCTTCTGCATCTGACTCACAGCAGCCCACACCCACAGACCGGCAACCTGTCTGTCTGGCCACACCAGAGCAGAGTCCTGAATTTGGTTTTCTGGTAAAAGCTTAAAAACAAAACAAGAAAACTAGTGAATTCCACCTCAAGACATGGGTCATGTCTGTCCCCATCTCCTCCTGGGTCCCCAGCCAGACCCTCCTGGCTCCAAGCCCAAATCCCTTTAGCCGGCAGGTCCCCAGTCCTGGGCCTTAAAAATTCAGCCAGATGGTGAATGGGGTCAACAGTGTGTCTCAGACAAATGTTTTGAGGGGAAGGGTCCTAGGACCCCACAGACTCCAGATTTACAGGGAAGACCCACCCCCAGTGTCCTGGCAGTTGCTTAAAAATTCTATAGAAACGTGTCGAGCACTAAAGAAAGCCGACGGTATAAAAACAGCCTCGGAAGCGCTGGGAAAGCGGCCGGGAGGCTGGTACTTCGTTCACATCACACGGCAGCCGCGCGAGGTGGTCCTCGGGTCCCCCTGGAAAAGCAGTGACATGGTTAGAGGGAGCCTCCAGGGCTGTGGGGAACCACAGTGCAAAAGCTTTCCAGAACCTTCTGTGTCTGCTCCTTGAACTCACTTTCTACGCCAGTAGAAACAAGAGTCTTACCACGATTCCCTTAACAAAGCCATGACGGTTTCAGTGCGATATCTAAAACCCCATCTCTTAAGGTAGATGAGGTGACAGGTGACTCAAAGAGTCCCCTCACGGCTGTATTGGTGCCACAGCTGTTCAGGTCCCCAACCCAGGGTCAGGCGACAACTCCCACTGACCCAGTCCCAGCACAGGCGAGCCGGGCTGAAGGGCCAGGGCAGAGTGTGCAGTCCAGGGTGGAGGTGAGCAGTACGTGTCTACAGGGGGTGTGTGCATTTGTGCAAATGACTGTGCAGGAGGCCAAGCGTGGGCTTCTGTGTGCGCACACCCGTGCAGATGGGTACACGGCCGCCCTGGACGCACGTGGCCATGTACTCCAGCTGTCGCAGGTGTGTGGTGCGCACAGTGCACGCGCCCTTCTGTCACGCACCCATCTGTGCCACAAAGCCCTCTATCCTGGGCACGAGGCATGCACAGCCTTTCACCACGCACGCCTCAATGTCCAGGGGCCCTCTGTCCAGAGTATGTGACATGTGCCGGGTGGTGTGTGCACATACATGGTGTGTATGCCCTTCTATTGTACCCCCCGACGTGCTGCACGCCCCTCTCTCCTCCCTCCACCTTGCAGGCCCTTCTACCCCGTGCATCCCTGTACCCATCTCCATGCACACATCCCCCTCATGCGCCTTCTATCACGGACTCTCCATCTCACACACCTCTACCCAGTGCGCTCCTCTATCTGGCATGCCTCTCCATCTCACGCCCCTCTCTCTATCCCACAGGTCCCTCTAGCTCACAGGCCCCCCTGTGCCGCGCACATGGCCTGCATGCCCTTCTATCGTGGGCCCTCCTATCTCGTGGGCCCCCCATCCCGTGTGCCCCTCTGGCTGGTGGGGAGGGTGTCGCAACTACCTGCTGGTGGAACAAGTCCTCCTCGCCAAACTCAGCCTCCTCCTCCTCTTCCTCCTCCTCCTCCCCGTTCTCGGTCTCCCGGACGACTGATGACTGTGTCACGGCTCGCATGGCCACCTCCTGAGGAGACACGGGTGCTGACAGACACCCTCCCTCCTAGCACTGCCCAAGCAGGAGGAGTTCTGGGGCAGGGTAGGACCCGGCCAGCCCCAGTGCCCAGCCGGCACCACACCCAGAGAACCCACCTCTCCATCGGCATTGACCAGGGCGGTCCGGAAGCGCTCGCCCGAGCCCCAGCTGCTCTGGCTCTTCCACACGAGTGTGGAGGGTGGGCTGTGGGCCACACCTGCCCCTGCCGCCCACACCTGAGGACATAGGAAAGTGTCAGTGGCCCCAGCCACAAAGCCCTTCCACACCGGAGGGACCTGTGGCACCTTGAAGACACCGACAGGTTCATAGTGGAGAAGGGCTCCGGTGCCCACACTGTGACTGCCAGCCCCACGCAGCCCACCAGTGCTTTGGCACATCACCACGCCTCACTTTCCTCTTTAGGACAGGAGACACTCGGAGCGGCCAATGCAGCAGTTGGGGTTCACAAGTGGCTCCACGACAGCTCACAGCTGAGTTTCCATCTCACTGCCGACCCGCCCACCACTCTCCCCGTCACCTGTGCAGCTGGCACCAGTGTCACTCGCCCCTGCCCAGCTAGCATTCCAGCTCCCACAGTTCCCCTCCAATCAGGCCGTCACCTACCGTGACTGTCTGTCCAGCCCGCAGGACATACTTGGGTGTAAACTTATAAGCAATTTCTTCTCCGTCTGCCATCTGCCTCTTGATCCTCCAGTTACCCAGAGACTGGTCCTGAGGAAGAAGGCACCAGTAAGAGGGGCTTCCAGGAATCCAGTGCTGGACGCCTAGCCCCAGGTGGCCGCCCCCTCCCCGGAAGCCTGGCCCCCTGGCGGCCGGCCCCTCCCCTTGGGAGTCCACGTCCACCCTACGTCCTGACCCACCCCACCCCCAGCAGCCACCTCCTCTCTGGAAACCTGACACGTGGGGGTCTAAGTCCACCCTGGAGCCTGACTCCCAGGCGGCTGGCCCCTCCCTAAAGGCCTGACTCCCAGGCGGCCGGCCCCTCTCCAAAGCCCCGGCCCCCAGGCAGCCACCTCCTCTCTGGAAATCTGCTTCTTGGGGGTCCATGTCTACCCTTCAGCCCGGCCCCCAGGCAGCCACCTCCTCCCTGGGCCCCTGGAGAGTCCACGTCTGCCCAGCCTGACCTTGCTGGAGCTGTTCTTGAGCCGCACGAACTTGCCCTCCAAGTCGATCTCCTCAATGCTGATGCTGCCTGAGGCAGATGCCTGCTGGGACAGCTGGAAGCTGCTGGCACTGCTGGAGCCCGAGCCGATGCCAATGCTCCCAGAGCCTGAGCCCAACGCCTCCTCCACCTCCAGCCGCTTCCGCTTGCTGCGGCCTGGGCGCCCCGCGGTGGGCACGCCGCTGCCGCTGCCGCTGCTGCTGGAGGTGGCCCGGGCCTCAGCGGAACCTGGGACGGTCGGGCTGCTCTCTGCCTGTCCAGAGGTGGAAGCCGTTGCCCACCGCTGCTGGAGGTGGCCCGGGCCTCAGCGGAACCTGGGACGGTCGGGCTGCTCTCTGCCTGTCCAGAGGTGGAAGCCGTTGCCCACCGCTGCTGGAGGTGGCCCGGGAGATGGTCACACGTGAGGATGGGCTGGGGGACAGCTTCAGCCTAAGGGGAGAAGGTGACATCAGTTCTTCCAGCATCTCTGCTCACGGTCTTCCCACCTGGCCCTACCCCGTCCGCATTCCACGGCCAGAGCAACACCTGAAGGAACCAAATAGCCTGTCATCTCAGAATGCACCTTCCGGTTCAATAAGAAATGAATGTAAACACAGTCTACGTCATTCTAGAGTTATGCACACACGTAGGTATCTAGTATCTTTTTTTAATAAAAGGGTTTTGTTAAAAAAAAAAAAGGGGGGGGTTTGTGCGTTTTTAAAATTTTTTTAAATTTCATCCAAATATATTTATTTCATAAACACATAAATAAAGTCCTAATAAAGGATTTGAAAATACTTTTGATGGGCACATGTTGCTTTAATCTCTTTGCTGTTGCACACAGCACAGCAATAAACATGAGTGGGTTTTTTTAAATTTTTTTTATTTTTTGTGTGTGTACCATCAAATGTGATCTGACTGGTACAGGAGGAGATTGTCCCTCCCTCTCCAGCAGAGCATCTGGTGGATTCGAACCTCTCACCTTTGAGACTGCAGTGCAGCTTCTTGCTGCTGGGCCACCAGAGCTCGCCTACTGAGATCATTTTAAAGGACGCTGATAACTCTAGTTTCCAATTTTGCAAAAAATGGGACTTCCTTAACATGTAAACTGAAAAATCTGAGTTTTATATCACTAACGCAAGTTCTGTAGAAAAACCATGCAGCACATGCTTGACTTAACATTATTTATACCTTCCCAATTTTCTATATTCTGTCCCAACCGGCCTAAATGAAGGGTGCTGCAGGCCCCGCCCCTCGCCGCGGCCCCGCCCCTCGCCGCGGCCCCGCCCCTCACCTCTCCTCCTCCCCCTCCAGCAGCTTGCGGTAGGCGTTGATCTCCATGTCCAGGGCCAGCTTCACGTCCAGCAGCTCCTGGTACTCGGCTAGCTGTTGCTGCATCACGTCGCGCATCTCTGTCATCTCCCGCTCCTTGGCATCCAGCATCTTCCGGAACCTGTCCCGTTCCCCAGCCATCGTCTCTTCCAGCTCCCGGATCCGGTCCTCGGCTGCGCTGGCCTGGGAGGGACGGTCAGCAGTCAGCCAGCAGGACCGTCCAGGAAACCAGACAAGGCCCAGAGGGCAGGCCACCTGCCTGGCGCTTCCCACTGCCCCTGATGCCCTGACGGGGAGGGGGCTCACTCACCTGCTTCTGGAGGCCGGACAGCTGGTAGCTGAGGGACTCAACCCGCACTCGGGCCTCCTTCAGCTCCTCTCGGGCCGCGCTGGCCGCCTTGTCATTCTGATCAGAGCTCAGCTTGGCATTCTCCAGCTGTGGGGGCAAGATGTGGTCAGGGGGGCGTCGTATGGGTGAGGACGTGAGGCCCCCATCACGTGGGCCCACGTGGGCCTGCGGGTTTGCTCCAGCACCAGCAACTACGTACCTGCTGGCTTGTCTCTGTCCTGACCTGACACCCCCTGCCCACCTTGGCCTGGTAGGTCTGCTCCAGCTCCAGCCGGTACAGATGTGACCTCTGACGCCCACCCGCTATCCTCTCCTTGGCCTGACCCCTGATACTCCACCCACTGGGCCCACCTTGGCCCTGACCCCTGACCCCCGCCGCGCCCACCTTGGCCCTGACCCCTGACCCCGCCGGGCCCACCTTGGCCCTGACCCCTGACCCCGCCGCGCCCACCTTGGCCTGGTAGGTCTGCTCCAGCTCCAGCCGGTACAGCCGCACTTGCTCGTCATGCTGGCTGCGCAGCTCCTCCAGGGCCTGCGCCATCTTGAAGTCGTACTCCTGCTGCCGGCTGCTGTCCACCTCCACCAGCTGGTGCTCATGCCGCCGCCTCGTCTCCCGCACCTCCTGGGGGGACAGGCCAAGGCCATGAGGCGCCCTGAGCCCCGGGCAGGGCAGGCGAACTGGGCACGACCACCCAATCTCCCCCCCAAGACCTTGTTCCAAGCACGGAATGCCCACTCGTGGGTCACCCTGTCCCTCCCACCATCACACACTCAGCAGCACTGCTCCCCGCCCAGGCTGACCCCAGCCTCCACCCGCAGACGACCAAGGCCATCCGCCGCACCAGGGACAGTCATCCCCCACAAAAACGGGTGAACCCTGTAACCATGCCGTGTCAGCCGTCAGGCATGACACAGGTGAACCCTGAAAATGTGCCCTGTGACAGCCGTCAGACACAACAGGTGAACCCCGAAAATGTTCCGTGACAGCCCTCAGACACAACAGGTGAACCTCGAAAATGTGCCCTGTGACAGCCGTCAGACACGACACAGGTGAACCTCGAAAATTTGCCATGACAGCCGTCAGACACGACACAGGTGAACCCCGAAAATGTTCCGTGACAGCCCTCAGACACAACAGGTGAACCTCGAAAATGTGCCCTGTGACAGCCGTCGGACACGACACAGGTGAACCTCGAAAATTTGCCGTGACAGCCGTCAGACACAACAGATGAAACCCCGAAAATGTGCCATAACAGCCGTCAAACACGACACAGGTGAACCCCGAAAATGTGTCATGACAGCCATCAGGCACAACAGGTGAACCCCGAAAATGTGCCGTGACAGCCGTCAGACACAAAGGTGAACCCCGAAAATGTGCCGTGACAGCCGTCAAAGGTGAACCCCGAAAATGTGCCGTGACAGCCGTCAGACACACAGGTGAACCCCGAAAATGTGCCGTGACAGCCGTCAGACATGACACAGGTGAACCCTGAAAATGTGCCCTGTGACAGCCCTCAGACACAACAGGTGAACCTCGAAAATGTGCCCTGTGACAGCCGTCAGACACGACACAGGTGAATCTCGAAAATTTGCCGTGACAGCCGTCAGACACAACAGATGAAACCCCGAAAATGTGCCATAACAGCCGTCAGACACGACACAGGTGAACCCCGAAAATGTGTCATGACAGCCGTCAGACACAACAGGTAAACCCCGAAAATGTGCCGTGACAGCCGTCAGATGCTGTTTAGGAGAAAGGAAATCATGGAGACAGAGGGGGTCAGCAGTTAACGGAACCGAGTGGGAACCGAGGAGAGTGACCCTCCAGCGGGTTCTGAGACGGTTTAATCTCTGGGGGGAGACCCCATCCTTCTCCGTGGGGATCTGGCGGATTCGAACCGCATGCTTTCGGGAGCTCTGGTAGCCTAGTGGCAAGAAGCTGCACTGCAATCCCAGAGGAACACGGTTCGAATCCACCAGATGCTCTGCCGGAGAAGGAGGCGCAATATCCTCCTGTAACAGTCAGATCTGATTTGACGGTACACGCACACAAAATAATTAAAAAAAAAACCAAAAAACGAACCGCATGCTTTCGGGCTGCAGCATGGCTGCTGACCTTGAACTGCATGCCTTTAGGACGGCAGCGCAGTTTCTTACCACTAGACCCTCAGAGCTCCCAGGAGAGGGGGGAGGAAAAAGATGACAGGGACGATGGCTAAGGGCTCGGTGATGGAATGTTCTGGAAGTAGACCGTGGTGGCTGAACACATGACAGGCTAAGACTGAACCATACACGAGGGCGGCCTGAGACGTCGCCTCGACCCTGTAAATAAGCCACACGGTGTATGAGGTGGGCTTTGCGAGAGCAGGACACCCTTCCTAAAGAAAACCGTCGCCTTTACACACAACTTAGGAGCCTCAAGCCCCTCACACCCACCTTGATGGCATCCCGGAGGGCTCCCCACGCCCTGCCTGCGCCCCGCACTCTCCGGGAGCCCTTTGCCATTCCTCTCCAGGGCCCCTTGAGGAAGTCCTTCCGGGGTGGCCTCTCCAGGACCGCAGGTCCCTTTCGGGGTCTGTCCCTGGGCCTCTTCACGGGGTCACTGGAGGATCTCCTCACGGTTTTCTTCTCCGGTTCACTCGAGGGTCTCCTCACAAGTTTCTTCGGGGGTCCACTTCTGGATGCCTTACGGGGCTCCCTCGAGGCTCCCCCTGCCCTGTCCTTCACGGGTCCATTCAAGGGGCTCCTCCGGGGTTGCTTCTTGGGTTTCCTCACAGGCTCCTTCCAAGGCCTCTGCATGGAGCTCCTTTTAAGGTGCCTCGCAGAGCGCCTCAGGAATCTCCTCGAAGGTTCCCCCTTGACATCCTCCCCAGGTACCCCACGGGGCTCCTTCCTGAGGGCCCCCTCAGCGTCTCCCGCACACTCGGGCCGGAGTTTCCCCTCAGCACTCTTCATGTACTCCTTCCTAGGCTTCTGAGCTCTCTCCTCAGGATCCGACATGCTTCCTCTCAAGGGTCTCCTCACGGGTGTCCTGGCACGCTTCACAGGCTGCCCCTCAGGGTTCTCCACGGGGCTCGCCTCGAGATCTACGGAAGGTTCCTGCCCAGGTCCTCTCACGGGGTCCCTCTTGGGTTTCCTCAAGGGCGCCCTCAGCAGTCTCCTTCCCTCAAAACCGTTCACAGGTTCCCCCTGAGGGTCCATCACAGGTTCCCCATCATGGTCCATCACGGGTTCCCCCTCATGGTCCATCACAGGTTCCCCCTCATGGTTCTTCACGGGTTCCCCCTCATGGTCCATCACAGGTTCCCCCTGAGGGTCCTTCACGGGACCCCCCTGAGGGTCTATCAAAGGTTCCCCCTCATGGTCCATCACAGGTTCCCCATCATGGTCCATCACGGGTTCCCCCTCATGGTTCTTCACAGGTTCCCCCTGAGGGTCCATCAAAGGTTCCTCATGGTTCTTCACGGGTTCCCCCTCATGGTCCATCACAGGTTCCCCCTGAGGGTCCATCACAGGTTCCCCCTGCGGGTCCACCATGGGTTCTCCATGCGGGTCCGTCCTGGATTCTCTTTCTGCGTCTTCCACAGGAACCATTTCAGTATCCACCATGGATTCTCCCTCAGGGTTCTTCACAAGTTCACCCTCAGAATTTTTCACAGGTTTCCTCAAATATCTCTTCACGGGTCTCCCCCTGAGGCTCTTCAAGGGTTCCCCCTTAGGTCTCTTCACATGTCTCTCCTTGAGGTTCTTCAAGGGATCCCCCTTAGGTCTCTCCATGGGTCTCCCCCTGAGGTTCCTCAAGGGTTCCCCCTCAGGTCTCTTCATGGGTCTCCCCTGGGGTCCTTTACAGGTTCCCCCCACAAGGTCCTTCATAAATTCCTTCAAATGTCTCTTTAAGAGTTTTCCCTTAATGGTCCTTGACAGGTTGTAGGGGTTTTTTCACAGAGTCCTTCGTGGGTTCCCCGTCAAAAATCATTCCACGCTGCCTCATACGGTCCTTTGAGGGCGCCCTCTTGGGTGCCCACGCCGCTGTGCCCCGTGCTCCTCCCTGGCAGCTCCTGGAGGGTCTGCCCTCAGCTGCGCTGGATCTCTGACTAGCAGCTCTCCTGGGCAGTGACTCCCCAGAGGGCCTGCCCCACCCCAGAGCTTCTGTTCTGGGCTATGACAACACAATAGCCTCTGGGGAGGGTCCAGCAGGTAGTCCAGGGCTGGGCTCCCAGGAAGGAGGAAACCAGCACCACACACAGAAACACTAGTGTCATCTGTCAGGGCCTCCTAGTCCCACGTGGCCATGTTCAAACACGCCCCTTGAGAGCAGGAGGTCACAGGGTGGGAAAAGGTGCCTGGAAGGAAGTGAACCAAGGTTCAGGAAGCGGGGCTCCTGTGATAGGGAGACGCCTGCAGCATGGTGCCCCCACAAGATGAATCCACGTCTTAACTCCCAGAGGCTGTTGTCAGGGCTGTCAAGTAGACCTCAATTCCTGTAGACCTTGTGATAACGACCTGTCCCCGCCTGATCACCTCTGACACTCGAGCTCAAGTTACAGTCACTGTGTCTGTCTCACTGAGGGTCTCCCACTCCTTGGCTACCTTCTACCTGTCAAGCACAATGTCCTATCGCAAGGACTAGACTAACAACATGCCCAAAGTATGTGAGGCAGGCAACCTCCTCCTATAGCGGTCAGATTCCATTTGACAGTACACACCCCCCAAAAAGAACGTGAGACAAAGCTTCACTATCCCTGCTTCCAAGGAGCACCTGGCCACACCTTCTCCAAGACCTTTATGTGTTCCTCTGGAGTCCACACTACTCAGCCCTCCTCTCCATCACCACTCCGCAAAGGCGTCCATTCTCTCGTCCTTCATCACGGTCCAGTTCCGAGCTGCTCAGCCAGTAACTGGAAGGACTGTGATTTCTATCAGGTACACCTTAGTCTTCAGAAAAAAGTGCATCAGCGCTCTTCTGCACAGCCTTCAACCACGCAGTGTTCTCTTGCTCTGTTCACACAACAGCCTCTTGGTCTAGACACAGGTTTCATATGAGCTAAGTGTTCTGGGATGCTGAACGCGCTTCTCAAATGTTAGCACAATGTGTTAGGATCCACACAGTCAAATGCCTCTGCATAATCAAGAAAACACACGTTAACATCTCTGCTTCCAGCCAGGATCAATCTGATATCAGCAATCTGACTCCAACACACCAATCCCACCTCCCCCAGTTACTGTGTCAGTCCATCTCATCTGGGGTCTTCCTCTCCTTCCAAGCCTGATGTCCTTCTCTAAGGACCAGTCCCTCCTGGCTATGTGCCCAAAGTATGTGAAATGGAGCTTCAAAATCTTAGCCTCCAAGGCAAATCTGTTTGTCTTCTTGGAGGTCCATGGTAGGTTCAATACTCTTCTCTAGCACCACAACTCAAAAGCATCAATTCTTCTGTCATCCTTAGTCACTGTCCAGCTCTCTGATGCATAGCAAGGAATTATAAAAACTATGGTCTTAATCAGGCACACCTCAGTCTCTAGACTGACAACGTTGCTTCTCAGTACTCTGCAGAGGTCCCCGACAGCAGCTTTTCCCAGTTCAGTTCTTCTGATTTCCTGACTGCTGGTGCCAAGATGGTGATTGTGGAGCCGAACAAGCTATAAATGTTAACAACCTCAATCTCTTCTCCACCCATAGTGGTGCTTCCAATTGGCTCAGTGGTTGAGAATCTTTTGTCTTCTTGATGTTGAGCTTCAATTCTTACTGAAGACTACCTATAGTCCTTGACCTTCTGCAGCAAGCGCTTCAGGCCCTCCTCCGTTTCAGCAAGCAGGGTTGTGTTATCTGCGTAACACAGACTGTTGAGAAGTCTTCCTCCAAAGCTGATGCCACATTCCTCCTCATAAAGCCCACCATTCCAAATGCTCTTTTCTGCACAGACTGCAGAGAAATGGACACAGGACACATCCCTGACACACTCCTTTCCCGATTTTGAAACATGTAATGTTTCCTTGCTCTGTTCTGAGGACTGCTTCCTGGCCCAAATATAGGTTTCACATGAACACAATTAGGTATGCTGGGGTCCCCATTCTTCTTAAGGCTAGCCATAATTTATTGTGATGCACACAGTCAAATGTCTTTGCATAGCGAAACACAGACTGACATTCCTCTGGTATTCTTTGCTTTCTGCCAAGATCCATCTGACATCATCAGTCATCTCTCTAGTGCCATGACTTCTAAATCCAGCTTGTATTACTGGTAGTTCTCTGCTGATGTACTGTTTCGGTCCTGTTTGGATAATCTTCCGCAGGATTTTGCTTGCATGTGTTAATAGTGATATTGTTCAACCATTCCCTCTCTGTCAGGTCATTTTTTTTTAGAACAGGAATAAATATAGATCTCTTCCAGCCAACAGGCCAGGCAGTTAGTTTTCCTCCAGATTTCTTGGCATAACCTGGTGAGCACGTCCAGAGGAGCGTCTGTTTGTTGAAATATGTCAGTTGGCACTGTTTGGGAACTTCCCATAGAAGCTAAACGTAACTTTATTTGAAGAAGCGCCATGGCAGACGGGATTAGGTAAAGGATCTCGGAATGAGGAGCTCAGCCTGGGTTACAGGGGAGGCTCTAGGTCCTAACACTAGTGTCCTTACTGGACACAGAAGGGAAAGACAGAGACCCTGACAGTGGAGGGAGAGTCTGCGGCGATGCAGCCACAAGCCACACAGCACCGAGGGCCACAGAAGCAGAGATTCTCCCTTAAAGCCGTGAGGGCACGACCCTCGTCCTCATGTGGAGGCTGAAATCGGCTGAAATGCAAGAGTCTCTGCTGCTTGAGGCCCCACAACTGTGACACTGCCGCGGCAGCCTAAACGCGCGCGCGCACACACAGAATAGCCCGTACTACAGCGAACTGAGTACACACACACACACACACACACACACACACACACACCCCTAGCCCCTGACACATACCTGCCAAGCCCATACAACCCCCTGCCCTTGATACACTCAGCCACCCAGTCCCTGACACACACCTCCAGTCCCCTCCACAGTCTCTGACACATCCACCCTCAGCACCTCCTCTCTCTCACATACACCATCCCCCAGTAGCCTGACACCCCCCGCCCCTTTTTCTCTCTCACACACTCCCCCAGCCTCTCTCTCTCACACTCAGAACCCCCACAAACACATAAACACACACACCCAGCATCTCTCACACACACCCAGCCTCGCTCTCACACGCCCACACCCAGTCCCCCTCACACCATCCCCAGCCCCTTTATCTCACACACACCCTCAAACATACACACCCCTAA